TGCGAGATAAAACACAGTAGCACAGGAAAGACGTTAGCTTAGCTTGCTATCAATAGCTAAATGTAGCTAACCCACTGTGTACAACAATCAAACATTTACACGTGTAAGTACATTTCAGTGAGAGCTTTGGACCAACGGGATACGTAGCTAACCAGTTTTTTCCAGGATTACCACAGAATAGTCACAAATCCAGAGCGATCTCCATGAAAACCTCGTGAAACCTCCGTGTTGTGCGTTCGAGCTTCCTTTGAATTCTTTCTTTCGGCCTAAAGAGAGTAACGCGTGGACCTCGTCAACCGACCAGGACGTCGACTTTTGGGGCTTTCTGTGCGATTCCATTTCTCTGGAGTGAGGAGGACGATGCTTGGTTTAAACCATTTTCTCTGCTGTAGTCTAAAGTAAAATGTTGAATGCATTGATAGCATTTATCAAAAAGTTAGCATTCCTCCACTGGATTTTCACCTGATCGGACCATGAATCCTCTTCGTTCCGGTCTGGACCAGTTCAAAACCATGAACACTGTGCTGCAGCAACATCTCAGGAAGAAAAAATAAGAATAAGAATTGTAAAGCACAAGAAAACAACTGTTTCAGGGCTGCCGAGATTTTAGCAACAAAAGGAAGGAACACCATCACTCTACTCAGTATCCAAAAGAGAACATGTTTTCTCTGTATTTCTCTAAGATTTCAATGTACAAATATACTACGAATGTTCCAATAGTCCATAGACAGGGATTGGCCTAAAGTTTCCAATCTATTATTGTGAAATTTTGACAAATAAACTTTGGTCAATAGTTGTAGTTTGAGTCAAAGATCAACAAATTCTAATATATCTAATATTTTTCAGAAAATCAGAAGATAAAATGCTGATTCCTTCAGGCGTTTAAAACAAAGTTGAGTGTTTGGCTTTGTATTCCTCATCAAAACACCAATAAGCTCTGCCTTCCTTATCAACATGTTGATATCCTTCCATCCATCCATCTTCATTCATTCATTTATTCACTTTCATGCATAGCCTTGGTCTTTCAGTGAGGCTCCAGGCAAAGCAGGGTTATGTGTCTTGCCCAAGGACACAACAACAGCAGAGAGCGCAACAGTGGGAGTCGGTGGAGAAGGTCTTGTGGTGGGCTCCAACCCACGACCTTCAGGCTCAAAGGCCAATGCTCTACCAACTGTTCCACAGTCGATATCGTCCCAGAAATAACATATCTGTCTGTCCTGCTCCACTCTCTTGTATCAGTATGTAGCTCCATTGACTGCAAACGTGGCCTGTAGTGTTCTCAAAACAACAGAATAAACATTCTCGATTCAGCCGCTCTTTCATTCACTTTTCCCTTTGTCAAGCCTTGTCCTCTTTCTTTACTAAAGCCACCAAGCACAATTTCTCCCCAAAAATCTATTTATCATGTCAGCACTTCCTCAGCCCAAACTTTTTGGCAATGAGAATGTATTGAACCATTTCTGCAGTTATTTTTGTTGAAATGTTGAAAGCACCATTGTGAAGTACTGGAAAAATTGTACTGTCTCTCAATCTTAAGGCTTTAGAAACAAACACAAAATGAATAGTTTTCACAATACAAGAGAAAACATTTATTGAAACTGGAATAAGAGTAAACAGGATTACTGAAGTTTACTGGATGTGGAAGAAGCTGATTTTACCATAAGCTAACTTGAGCCATCCATTTTCTTCCGCTTCATCCATTGCCGGGTCATGGAGGCAGCAGTCTAAGCAGAGACGCCCAGACTTCTTTATCCACACACACTTCCTCCAGCTCGTCCGGGGGGACCCCAAGGCGTAGAGACAGTCCCTCCTGGGTCTTCACCGGGGACTCTTGCTGTAAATAATCTAACTGGGTTTCCCTCCTACACAAACCAGTGATTATAGTGAATGGAAGCTAAGACTCTGTTTACATATAATAAAGAAGGTTTAATGTATGTGTAGGGGCGACACTAGCTCATTTGGTAGAGCACTGGCCTTTGAGCCTGAAGGTTGTAGGTTCAAGCCCACCACGGGACCTTCTCCACCGACTCCCACTGATGACTGCTGTCGTTGTGTCCTTGGGCAAGACACTTAACCCTGCATTGCCTGAAGCCCCCGCTGAAAAATCAAGGCCGTATTGTCACTGACAGAGCAGCCGTCCTCCTGTGGACTCACCACCTGCAGAGGATCAGTGAGGGGCTGGTGCTATGAGACTTGGGTGGCATCTCTGACTGCCACCCCCCTGACCCAGAAATGGATTAAGGGGAAGAAGATGGATGGATGGATGGGTTTAATGTATATAAGCAGAACATATACAAATTACAGACAAACCTAGCCCGGATCCCGCTAAGATGGAATAGCAGAATGACAAAGAATGAAGCAGACGCTGCTCCTTATAGTTGTAGAGGAGCGTCATGGGTTGGTCTAGTCACAGGATGTCATAAATACATATGTCATTCAATAATCTTGTAGACCAGTCCTGGTTAAACTCTGTATCTCTGAGTCTGAGCCTGAGGGTCTCACTAAAGGCTCTTATTGTCCTTCCAGATGTCTACAGCCCCATTGGCCCCAGAGAAGGGTCGAGTCAGCTGTCTCCGCTATTGTGCCCAAATGTCACAAGACACAATTATAACAAACCACACATCCACAGGACATTGTATGCAGTCTTACGACTCGGATGCTTCCGAGATGCAGATGGGGTCCTAGTGTCTTTCTAAACGTCACGTTGGCCTTATGATTAAGAAAAGGGTCAGCAGTCTTAGACATTGAGTTCTGACATTGTCTCATCATATTCCATACATATGAAGACACATAAATATAATAGCAGACACCACATTCCCCCTTTTGATCAAACACATACTTGATCACAAAATACAATAATACCTGTCTTCTTACTGTGAGTATGAGAGCAAAAACCAAAGTCAGCTTATTGGAAAAATTCTCTCACAGCCTCAACTTATCATTGTTCATTTGTCTTCATGTGTTTTCGTTGACGACTAAAAAAAATTGCACTCACAGCCTCGAAGCTCACATTACTGAAATATTTAGTGGGAAGAATTTGCATTGCTTTGAATCTTAGAATCTGCATTGGTCTCAGCGCTGGATCTCCTACCAGGGTAGAGATTAATCTCATAACATTTTGAGATTAATCTCATAATCCCACAAAGGGTCTTTTTAGAAATCTACTTAAGAATGACTTGAGAAGAAATTTAAGAAGATTAAGATATTGGTGAATGAGGCCCAATCTCCTGCCCTGTCCTTTTGACCCCCCCCCCCCCCCCCCCCCATCCCCCTCCCCCTCCCTCTCCCTTTCTCTGCTCTTCCTACCTTAAGCTACCTATTTTCATGTAATCATTGTAGAGGTGTGACACGAGTTTTTCGTGTGGCAACCGGCCAATGAGGGACCTGACCATTCTGATAAAGCTTGTGTGAATGCCATTGTGCATTAGAGAGACTGATGTGGGGTCTGAGGAGCGGACTTCAGAAGCTCCATTTCCAATTGCTTGTTCTTGTCATGTACTTTTTCCTTTATTAAACCACACAAAATGCAACTCTGTTTCCATGGATCATTTAGGAAATTTAACAGTGGTGATAAAGGGATGGACATGGTCAGCAACAATACTCAGGTGGGCTGTGGCGTGGCAACAAGGGACTGAAAGAGTGTTAAGAAAATATCCCCCACACCATTACACTCCCACCACCAGCCTGAACTGTTGATACAAGGCAGGATGGATCCAAACTTTCATGCTGTTGACTCCTAATTCTGACCCTACCATCCAAATTTTGCAGCAGAAATCGAGACTCATCAGACCAGGCAACTTTGTCCAATCTGCTATTGTCCAATTTTGGTAAGCCTGTGCAAATTGTGGCCTCAGTTTCCTGTTTTTAGCTGACAGGAGCGGCACCCGGTGTGGTCTTCTGCTGCTGTAACCCATCTGCCTCAAGGTTTGACGTGTTCTGTGTTCAGATAGGCTCTTCTGCAGGCCGTGGCTGTAACGAGCTGTTATTTGAGTTACTGTTGCCTTTCTATCAGCTCAAACCAGTCTGGCCATTCACTTCTGACATAAACAAGGCATTTTCGCCCACCGAACTGATGCTCACTGGATATTTTCTTTTTCGAACCATTCTCCGTAAACCCTAGAGATGGTTATGTGTGAAAATCTCAGTAGATCAAAAATTTCTGAAACACTCAGACCAACCCTTCTGGCACCAGCAACCATGCCACGTTCAAAGTCACTTAAATTACCTGTCTTCCCCATTCTGATGCTCGGTTTGAACTGCAGCAGATCGTCTTGACCATGTCTACATGCCTAAATGCATTGAGTTGCTGCCATGTGATTGGCTGAAAAGGAATTTGCATGAAAGTGGAGTTGGATAGAGTGTAGTGGTACAGTTGTGACAGTAGTATTAGTAGTGGATGATTAGAATTATAATTTTCTGCGCTTTAATACAAAGTACTACCTTCAAATTAGTGTTGGCATTTTCTCCAGTGGACATGCAATAGGACTCAACAAAAGAGAATGAAACAATTCCAAGCAATATCAAGAAGACTGTTTCTGTCAAATAAGGAATATTTCTGAACAGCAACACCCAAGCTTTCTTATGACATTTGATGTTGATTTAAGGGCAATATAAAATAAACGTAGACAGTAGCTCAGTTGGTAGAGCATTGGCCTTCAGGCCTGAAGGTCGTGGGTTCAACTCCCACCTCAACACCTTCTCCACCGACTTCCACTGATGACTGCTGTCGTTGTGTCCTTGGGCAAGACACTTAACCCCACTTTGCCCAAAGCCCCCACTGAAAGATCAAGGCTATGCTCACACTCAGAGAGCAGCCGTCCTCCTGTGGACTCACCACCTGCAGAGGGTCAGTGAGGGACTGGTGCTATGAGACTTGGGTGGCATCTCTGATTGCCACCCCCCTGACCCAGAAATGGATTAAAGGGTAGAAAATGGATGGATGGATAAAATAAACACATTGGGTTTGGCAGTGCCGTTTTATGTGGTTCTTATTGAAAAATTCAGCCCAGCACCGCAGACATCTCCACCACAGATAAAATATTAAGCCTCTGCGTCTCTTCTGACTCTTTCCCCAGCTTAACAAGCTACAACATTGCACAGAACAGTCAATATTCTGTGCATATTGCACTAGTTTCATCTTTACCAAAGTCCCTCTTAGAGTTTTTTTAGGAAAACATACCCCAAATCTATTTTAGAATAGAAATTATATGGACAGGTACCAAGAACAAATAGCAAGACAAAATGCACTGCTGGGGTGATTTTGCATCTGTCCTTCCCCCATCCCTGCGGGCCACCACAGGTAGCTTAAGTTTTTCATCAACAATTTAGTTTGATATTTTGTTTCACTCTATTTGACACTTTGAGCTCAGTATGGGTGGTTTTCTACTTTTTTATATTCTGTCTGGAAAAAAGCTGAACTAAAGATGTGACAGAGGCCCAAAATACATAAATGTGAAAACTAGTGATTTAAGCAAAGACAGTGAGGAACGAGTTAGATGGATTTGATTACATTGTAAAATTTCTTTTAGTTTGAAAGTCTGGCACAATAGCTCCAGACATAGATATTCAAATGTGCTCAAAATGGCTACCCTTTAATTGTTGGCAAGTGTTGTTGTAGATTTTATATACATGTAACCCCTATCCCATATATATATACAGTGGAATGGTAGTAGCAAAAGAGTCTGTAGGCTAGGACTGAAGATCTAGAGTTCGCTCTGGGAGGTGAGTCAGTAATCAATAAACAGTGGCTCTAGTTTGCAAGTTTGTGTATTATTGCATATTTACATATTTACAGTCATGACATCTTAAATTCTCAAATACAACGCTGCGCAGATTAGAATTCTTCATTTCATTCGCTCACAAGTCCAAAGGAAAAACCCCAAACCCAACTCAACTTCCCAAAGTCCAAACAATAGCCAGGGCTACTGTAAAAGTGTGTCCATTGAGCTTGTATTGCTCAAGAGTTCATATGAACCAGAGTGCATGGGGGTAAAGGGCCGATCTCCTACCGCATTGATGGGGTACTTGCAGCAGTAGTTCTTGTCTGGGCTCAGCTTGCCATCAATAGTGATTCGACTTGATACCACAGCACAGAAAAGACCCGGCCAGTTCGAGGTGAACAATCCAGCCTGTCACTCACTCAGAACGGCTCGATCGCGTAGACTACTGCTGCAGCCCTAAACGCAGCCTCCCCCATGCCTCCCTGTACAAGTGACCCGCCATCTTTAAAACCCCAAGTCACATGACCCACGTGATCCCAAACTCCCTGGAGCCGGCGCCAGACCCGATGGAAATTTGGGACCATTTAGTTTTAATAATAATAATAATTTATAAAAATACATTATATTTGATATGTGATAATATTTATATTATAAATAAATAATATTTATATTATATTTAATGGGTAACATACAGCACACATCAAAACACAATCATGTTTGTAGATTTTATATGCAGCACACGTCGAAACACAATCATGTTTTCATTCATGTGTCAACATTTAACAAATTCTATTTTTAATTTTTCTATCATGAAATTGTATAGTTTTATATCAAAGTGTTTGTATATGATGTGTTTTCATACTAGTCTGAGGTCAATGAGTTTACAGCAAAACAATTGACAAAAGATGGCCTTGAAAGTGTTCTTTTCTTTTCGCACCGGACAGGAGATGAGACCGGACTAGACCAGACCAAGACTTCTGGGTCCTTCCTCTTCTACACATTTCCATAAAATCTGTTCTGTACGATTTATTAGTTATTCTGAGCCAGGGACAGAGAGAAGTCTTCGCAGAGCGCCTGCTGACCTCTAAGGTTTAGGCCCGTAGGGACAGTTAATTTTGGCTCATAGGGTTAGATAGGGAAATATAAGAGCTCAGAGTTTTCCATTAATATTTAATTGTAAAGATAATTAAATACTGTTATTTGAACTCTTGAATTACTTGGTATTCTTTTCTGGTCCAATTCTGAATCATGTCCCTTTTTTTTTGACGATAATGTGGATATTCCCAAACCAGTAATTTTGAGAGATTGTCAAGATAAACTGGAAAAAGTGCACAAATGTATGTGTCAAATCTCCATAAATGTCCCTTGTTCTTTGCCCCCCTGCACAATTTTATGCAGTATGTCAACTTTAGTTTGTTCTTCATATATCAGTGGAAAATGCAGACTGACCCATGTTGTGCACTGTTACACCAGGATTTACAACAATTAGAGTCAGTGTGACCTGTTATGCCAGCCGAAAGCTGCCATTACCCGAAAGGTTATTATGAAAACGCATCTCTGCTGGGGAAACACAAATTGACAATGATTGCAATACTTCAGATCTTTATTATGGAAGTGTTTTACTGTCATTTGCAGAGACGAAAAGAAGACTTTCTAATCCAATTGCAAAGAAATGAAACATAGGGTTGGGTTTGTTTTAACAAATGTGAAAGTCGCTCAGGCAACAAAAAAGGAAATATGGCTTTACTTGAAAGTATTGGCTACATATGAGGTTAGCTGTTGACAATTTCAACAGCTAAGAGACTACTGCTGTTGATAATTACGGCTATACGATTGAATTACCGGTATTGATCCTGGACTTGTCTGCAGCCTCAGTCCTGGATCTGCAGTCTCAGGGTAACACTTCAAAATAATGGTCCTTTCTGATTGGTCTTGAAGCCACGCCTACTTTTCCGTTCACGCGCCAGGTCCAAGATGTGCAGAGGAGAGATTATTAATTTAAATTAGGTCAAAATTGTCAACGCACGTTGATGAAATGTTTCATTAATTGCGTTCGAATGACCCGCCAATCTATCCCCAATATCACTCAGAAAAGCGCGGACACATGCGGGAGAAGGCAATAGGCCCTCTGGGAATTCAAAGTTGTAAAAGAATACGTGCGTGACCGCGGGGCACTTGCTGTTGTTTGCTGTATGAACTGAAGTCTGCATCCTCCATGGCCGCAACGTTCTGACCCGGGGCGGCTGCTCTGGACAGTGGCCGCAGCTGTGAGCCAACACGGTGAATGGCGCAAGCTGAAACGTAATCATATCCAAGACCATACACGCACAGAGCTATTCTCTGCATGTTGGGTGCGTGTCTTTGCGTAACCTGTGCGTAACTTGTGCAGCAATAAATACACAGCTGAAGCTGAACTAAGGAGCCTCAGGAAGTGTCGGTGTCTCCTCCTGAAATGTAACTAAACTTGCTAAATTAAAGCAAGTTCAGCAAACCTGATCATGATTTGAATCATGGGCTAAAAGAAACATTCAAATGCAAATTATTATTGTGTATTTTTAGTTGTACATTAACATTCTGAGATGCCTCTTATTCAAGATTAGTACTTTGTCCCCATTTGAATAAAATACATGTATGAATAAGCACTCCCTACCTTTTGTTGGTAGAGTAGTCTGATTTTGGCCTTCTTTGTTTATAAGGCTTGAGGTGATCTAAACTGTATTTTGAGTTTAAAGTGACACCTTTCAAATTGGCCAGTGTGGCAAGTTTGCCATTAATTGCCTCAATGGTGTACGGTCCACTGAAGTCTGGCTCAATCCGTCCTGTAAGAAGAAAATTACTTAATGATAAACTATACTACTTCTCACACAAGGGATGTGTATGATTAAATGGTTAATTAATAAATATGCTCAAAAGTGTAGATACCCAGACAATTATTGTCAAACAATGCGTTTACCCTTTTCAAATGAACTGAAAAAAAATTACGTACCAAAAACCCACCAGGGAATGTAACCTTAGGTAATTATCCTTTTTACAAAACTGCAATATAAAATACTGACCCCCCTTTCTTCCCTTCTTCCTCATGTTGAACAGAAGCACTTCCTGTCCAATGCTATACGACACTGCTCTATATTTCTTTAAGGTTTTTTTTGCATAGGCAAGCCTCTGCTTTTCATGTGCCTGAGCCATTTTTTGTTCTGCTTTGGAGTGTGTCGTCTTCATTTCCTCTTCTCTGCCTTCAATACACGCATTGTATGTTGCTTCCTCTGGGAGTGTTATGGACAGCTAACAAAAAAGTACAAGTTATTTAAAATTGTATTAATGGCATTCACATGACATTATAACGTTCTAAAAATCATATTTGTTTAAACAATTCTATTACACAAACACAACCAATAGTGATCATCAACCAAATGCTTTGTCATTCCTTGTCCAAAAACCTTCTATGCAAATTTGGTTGATATTTCTAAGCTTATAAATAAAATGGGAATTTACCGGCACATGCACAGGTAGTTCAGCAGGAAAAACGGCCTCCCTTCCATACAGCAGGCGAAAGGGAGTCTGCTTTGCGGATGTATGGACTTTCGATCGCAACGCGAACAAAACTCCCTTCAAGTACGTGTCCCAATTGTTCTGTCTGTCATTTACAAGCGTTGTGAGCGCCCTGTAAAGACAAACGTATGAGCATCATGGAGAAGGTGCGACAGTGAAAACTATGAATGTATAGGTGCAGTAAACATGTGAGACATAATCTTACTGGAGTAAATTTCTCCATTGTGAGATCAATAAAGTCTATATTATCTAATGAAGATCATGGCCATACATTACATTAAATGTATGCAAATGTTAACTTTAGTTTAAAAAAAAATTATTGTCAAATTGTTGATAGTGAGGATATTAAACTTACTGCTTTATGTTATGATTTGTCTTCTCATCCAGACCATTTGTTTGGGGGTGATATGCAGCTGTGACACTGCGCTCAATATGTAGGAGGGTGCAGAGTTCATTGTTGAGCTGTACATACAACAAAAATTACTGAAATAGTGTTGATTTTTATAATGTATACACAGACACAAAGCTACATACCTCATTTACAAACTCCCGTCCCTGATCAGACAGAATGCGCTTTGGGCAGCCGTGTCGATATATGATGGAGCGCAGCCATTGTGCAACCTCTAACGCAGACTTGCTCCTTAAAGGGTATGCTTCAACCCATTTTGAAAAATAGTCAGTGGCCGTCAGAATATACATGAATCTATCTGGTGTTTTGGGCAATGGCCCAGTAAGGTCTATGCCCACTAGTTCCCAGACAGCTGACACCTGCCAAGGAAAGAAATGTAGCTATTAATTTCCCATAGGCTGTTAAAAAGTTAAGAACAAATTTACCTTTATGTTTTCAAGGGGCAAAACAACTGCCAACGGCTTTCCTTTCCGTTGACACTTGTCACATTCTCCAACCTTCAATGATAAAATGAATTATGTGCATCTCATGAAGTCCAATTGGTATTTATAATGCTTTAAAACACGTACCCAATTGTCAATGTCAATTGTCATTCCATACCAATAAAATCTGGAACACAAGGCATGTCGCGTTTTAATAATGCCAGTGTGGCCCCCCATTGGCGTAGCATGGAATTGAAGAAAGATTTTCCAGGCCTCCTCTTTTCCTTTTATAGCCTTTCTTGTCCCAAAAAACAGTTCCCCATCTGTATAACAGTAATCACCAACAACATTAATCTAAAAATAAATACCATTAAAAAAAGTAAAGTAGTACTTAAATGCTTATCCTTCACTGTAAATTTCTTGGCATATTTCCTTAAATTTATTTTCTGATTTTTTGTGAAATCAGTAGGGTATTTTTTATGGCCAAGATAATTAAAAACGTTGTCCCAATTACTCTCCATAATTCTCCAATAATATTTGTTGGGCTAAAGGCGAGGTCGGGGACAGGCGAGGGTCAAACAGGATCAGAGGTGGTCAGTAGCAGACAGATGAAAGATTAAAGAGGAGAGACAAAGAAAATAGTGAGGTTGGCGATAGTAGTAGGTAGATTTCTGGAACTGGAAAGAAGAACAAAGAAAACATAGTTTAGATTTTAAATTTTTATCTTATCTGATCTTATTTGTAATATATTGGGATGTAGGTTTAGGTTATGTGATTATCATACAGCGTGAAGAATATCTAGGGAAGATTTTGGCAACAGTTTCACATGCAGGTCACAAAAGAGTGGTGTTCAAAGTAGCATGTGGTGTGTAAAATTACATTTACAAGGGGGGCATATCTCGATGAATGAATTTAGAATATCGAAATTTGCTATCCTTGACCACTAAGTTAGTTTATGGATAAAAAATTACATTTACAAGGGGGGCATATCTCGATGAATGAATTTAGAATATCGAAATTTGCTATCCTTGATATCTTTTACTGGGACGCTAGCTAATGCACATGCACATGAAACTAGCTAATGCACATGTCCCGAGGCTTAAGACTAATGACGTATAACTTCAGCCTATAGCTAAAAATATTAACATTATTGTCAACATCTTTACGTTAATTTGAACTAGTACTTCGTCACTGCAATGTGTAGTGTACTAGTGTACAGCAAAACATAGCAAAATACACGAATATAATCTTGTTTCTTGTAAAGACAACCACTCACGTGAAGCTGGAGATGCTAAATCCGATGGCTCGGTAAACCTACTTGGACGCATGCGCAGATGCACTAGATAATAGGTTTTGACGGGGGGAGCCGTCTCGACAGAACACCGGCTCAATCTCACGCATCGAGCGCACCGCGTCATTTATTGGGTACAAACATACACTTCCGGTTTGACCCTTCAGTGTAAGAGCATACACACACACATATATATATATACAGATACCTACAAGGCAACATGCTTATTCTTTAGTTAGGTCTTAATACTTTCCTTTCCCCTCTCTAAAGCCTAGCGTACATCGACAGAGAAACTGGAGACAACTAGTTGCAAGGCGGCTTTTGGCAACTGAGAGGAGATGGTGGGAGATGATCAGTTGCTGAAATCGGTCGATGTGCGCGCTCTTACAACTGGAGATGATCAGTCGGTCTCCAGTTTCAGTCAGTTGCCCGTGTTCTACTTTTCGGCAACTAGTTGTCCTCAGTTTCGGAGATATGACCCGATGTGCGCGCTCCATGCGCAGCTCCGACAACGTGTGTGTATTGCGTGTATTGCGAGCTCGCAACAGTTTATGTCAGAAAACACACTGTAGTTGAGGCCAGTTGCTATCGATGTACGCGCTGTTATTCCCGAGACTGGTCTGCTACTAGGAGTTGCCCGTTTTCGTCAGATTGTCGATGTGTGCGGGGCAGCAACTCATATGCGACGGATATAATCAGTTGCCAGTCCGATGTACGCTAGGCTTTAGAATAAGCACACCCCTATAAAAAGGTAGATACAAGGACATTTCCAATCCAGAATAGTTACTACTGTGTAGATGTGTTTTAGATATGCAGTGTATCCAAATGCACTGTGCATCTAAGACATATATGCATTTAGTTACCCTATATACTTATGGAGGAGAAATGTTCATTAAAGCAATCAGAGATTAAGTTAAGATCAGTAATTGTAGTATTATTAACAGTAACATTAGTTTCATTTGGACCTACCCAGAAGCTGGTCCAGGTGTTTCCGAAATTGTTTAGGATTGTTGTAGTTCAGACCGAGGGCTTCCTCTGAGTTTGGGTTTTGGATTGATTCCTGAGTTGTCTATAGATCTCCCAGTCGTTAGGGTCCTTAGACTCTCTGTACTTAGTCCAAGCTTGGTCTCGACGTTTAAAAAGATTAATTAAGTCCGAGCTAGTTCATGGAAGATGACCGTCCTTTTACGTGAATAGTTTTAAATGGGGCATGTTTATCAATTACTTTAAGGACTTCAGAATATTTTTGGGCTGGTCGATATGGGTCAAAAAAAAAAAATCTCCCGATTTGTTCACACCAAATCCGTTTTTCGATTTTTATCCAGTTATTTTTTTCTATTTAACAATACAAATACAACTGACAAAGAAATAGATTTTCCTTTATGCAGTTTAATCTAAATCCCATGGAGCATAAGTGTAAACCGAATAGCCTTAAAAATGCTTGTACGAGATGGCTCTGCCATTCGTAAACAGTGAAAATGTAGCTTAACAGTTTTATAAACTTCACTTACAATGACACTATGCACCGTCAAAATAACTTAATCCACAAACAAGGCCATCGCAAATATATTCAATCCTATTAAAACACATGCTTTATTTACATGAAATATCACATTTTAAAACTGCAATTACTCAAAATAGGAAATGTTGTAAACAGACAGTCTTTCAAAAGCCTCCTCGGTGTTTTCATGCTTGTTCTTTCACTGTGCTGAGTAACTGTGCTGTAGTACAACGCTCGGTCAGCTGGTGGCGCTTTTTACTAACTCAGTGACTCCCGCATTGTGCAAGCTTCTGTTTACATTTGATCTGTAGCTAACAGCTACTGTAGCAGTATGATAGTAACAGCTACTGTAGCAGCTAATGTAGCTAACAGCTACCTGTAGCAGCTACTGTAGCTAACAGCTTTCTGTAGCAGCTACTGTAGCTAACAGACGGGGGAACTCGTTGTTTGTATCAGAGCAATGAGAGCAATTGTGTGTGTAGTGTCTTTCCCCAAAGTGCAGCGGCTAAGTGGGACCGAGTGTGTGCGCGCCACGGAACGGGAGTGCGCTTTGGAATAAACGAGCGTGAGAGAGCGTGAAAAGATGTGGCGTCAAAACCTGGCGTACGAACTAGCGACCGAGCCTGCGTGCGTGTGTGTGTGTGTTCTGGCGATTTAAATAAAGTCTGATTTTGAACTTTTGAGTGTTATTGCACAGCACCAACTGTGAGAGCGGAGCATCAGGCCAGAGGGAGACTGTTAGCATTAGGTAGCTTCAACAATGAATGCTCAACACCATAGACCAGCGGTTAGCGCGTTAGCGCTGTAGTTCTGCGCTGGAGAAATTAAAAATCGATTTTTGAAAATAAAGAAAGTGCTCTAAACGTAAAACTCGAATAATGTCTTAAAATCGATTAATCGCCCGCACTAGCCACAATCTTTGCCAGCGATTACATTTGCTGTAAACATTCCTCTGTGCTACGGATTCAATTTCTTGAAACAGACCAGATATTACTTTACTATCACTTCTCTGCCCATTTCAAATACAACCTGCGTTGGGGCATCTCTTGGGCGTCGCACCGCACAATAACTAATCACCGCCTCCCGCGCTCGCTGAGTGGTCGGATGAGATTCAACCGATATAATTGCAGACACATGGGCCAGACCCAGACAAGGGGTAGGTTTGCGAGGGGGACCATGGGGACATGTCCACCAATATTTGGTGGGACTAAATGGTCCCCACAATATTGGACATGATGTCCCGTGACCCGGACGGTCCGGGACACATGTTTCCGTTTGTGGCACACGTCGCGCCTCCTCCTCGCCTCCGAGCATCGCTTTTAAAAGTTAGCCAGCGTGAAGCAGTGTTTTTTTTTTTTTGTTTCCCTGATGCGTTGTAGACTTGAGTATCAGGGAAAGTATGGTAGATCTTTTACCATTCAAAGTACTTACGTTATTTCTTATCTGTCAGCGCATGTTTAATGTCCGAGGAGCTCACACGGCACAGAGACAGACAGTACTGGCTCAATAAAGAAAACAGGTTGGTTGAAAGGTGATAAAAATACTTATGTTTCGTACTTCAAAATGGATAAAGTGGGTGTGTTGTGTGAATCAGGATAAATAGGGATGATAAATATTCCACGGATACACGATTTACAAACCTTTATTGCTGTTTAATGTAATGTCTGTGAAATGGGTGACAGCGGGCACTTGCTGGTTATTTGCTCTAAGCCACATTCAAGTGAATGCACTCGAATGTGCCAAGTCTGGTGCAGCTGCTAGCCGCTTTGTAATGCAAGCCGCGGCGCTCAGTGAAAGCACAGCTCTAACATGGTACGCGCCGACCATATGCAGACAGAAACCATGTTGCAAGTGCGGGTCTCCCTGTATTTCCGCGTTTCTCCCCTGTGTCTCTTGATTGTCTCTCCCCTGACTATTCCCAAAGCGCAACAGCGCTCCCGAAATTAAAGCGTCGGATACCTTAATTTTCATTGCGTTAACGAGCATGTGTTGTGCAGCATAACACACCACACAGGTCATGTAAGTTTTTATTTTGCATACTTGAGAGCCTGTGAGTCATTACTTGCCTTTTTGGGTTGAGAGTGGAATAAAAAAAAAGAAAATATAGTAAAATCCAACACTGTTATTATTGCCAAACTCTTGTTAACTCATTGGATTGAGAAATAACTATGTTCTTTTGACATTGGCCAAAGTGTATAATGATTCTGCAGTTTCGATGTATATGAATGTCTGTTTTTGTTTGATCTATACCTTCTGTATATAATTTGAAAAATGCCACTCCACAAAAAAGATAAAAAATATCAAGAGTCTTTTTTAACAGTTGGAAAGTAGTAGAGAAAGCACAAGTAATAGCAAATTATGGATATGGTTGATTATTCT